CAGCGGGGGGAGGAGAGGGTAAGAACGGTCTGGCCCAATTCTGACCCCATCCTCCTTGGGGGAAACTGGCTTATGCCGGCAAGTGCATGGACTCTGGAGGTAGGCAGACCTCAGTTGTCTCACTCTCTCCTTAATTGTATGACCTTAGGGAAGTTGCTTAACTTCTCCAAGTCTCAGTTTTCCCATCTGTGAAATGGAGAGAACTATGCATATATCACCGGGTTGCTTGGGGAGTAAGTGGAAAAGCATATAGTAAGCACCTAGCAACAATCTGAAATCCAGTTGATGCTTAATAAATGGAAGGCCCACCCTAGCCAGTTTGGCTCAGTGGATAGAGTGTCAGCCTACGGACTGAAGGGTCCCGGGTTCGATTCCAGTCAAGGGCACGTACGTCGGTTACAGGCTCCTTCTGGGTCCAGGCCCTGGTCGGGGGCTCATGCAGGAGGCAACCAATCGATGTGTTTCTCTCACATCGATATTTCTCTGTCTTTCCCTCTCTCTTTCACTCTCCCTAAAAATTCAATGAAAAAATATCCTTGGGTGAGGATTAACAACAGCAGCAACAACAAATATATAGATATAAAATTAAAAAAAAAATGGGAGGCCCATTCCCTTTCAACCTTAACTCCCCTGCTCAAGAACTTGCTGTGGCTCCCTGTTGTGTGTTTTTTTACTGTGTCTGATCCAAGTTCCTCTACTTGGCTCTCAATGTCTCCCGTGTCTGGCCTGACCTTCTCAATTCAGTCTTTATCCCAAGATTTCCCACTCGTTCTCCACTCCTGTGTCCCCAGTGAGCATACCATTTCCACCCTTCGGCTGTGCCCTCTGTCCACACTGCCTTTCTTGTCACCTCGGCCTATCCTCCTTGTCCGGAAAGGCCCCCTCCTCCAGGAAGACCCCCTGAACCACTCCTGCTCTGACCGTTCTGTCTCCTCCAAAACCTTGCTGCTCGCTTGGCCTGGCATCAGAGTCTCGCTATGGGAGAGGGTGGATAGTCCGTGTCTGTGGATGTCACCTGCCCACCCAGGCTGGCAACTGTTTCCAGGTTGGCAGAGAACCCCTCCTGGATCTCCCCAGAGCTTGCTACAGTGCTAACACTCTGCCGAGTGCTCAGTAATGTATGACGTTTGATTTGTTACAAAGCAATAGATGAGGCAAATCACTAGAAAGCAAGCTAGCTGAAGCCTTGGGAGGGATTCTGGGATGGGTGAAGGTGCTGAGCCTCTCACCCGGGGAAAGAAGTAGACTCGGTACTTTACATGAAAGGCACTATTATCCCCATTTTACAGATAGGAAGACTGAGGTTCAAAAAGATTCAATGACTTGGCCAGAGTCACTTGGATAGAAATTGGCAGGGGCAGGACTTGATCTGAGGCTGAGGGGTATGTCAGAGAGGGGAGGCCGAGATGAGTATGTAGAGGGAGAGAGCGGGTGGATGGGTTGGAGGGGATGTGGGGCACATGGGAAGGCCCTGGTTTGCCCATTGGAAGAGGCGAGAGAAGGGGCTAAAGGAAGATACGGCAAGACCCTCCCGGAGAACTGGTTGTAGCCCCAGAATTTTTCTCACCAGAAAAAGCCACAGCAATTCTCTGGGTCTATACCCGCTAAGGTGCTTAGCCTCTGTCCCCAGGGCTGCGGGACAGAGGGGCAGAGAAGACAGAGTCTCTGCCAGCTCCCTGCAGAGGCAGGGATGTCAGCGAGGCTGAGGGTGATGTCACCGCTGACCTCAGGTTTCTCACCCACCTTCCCCAAAGCAGTTTCTTTAGAGTCACTGGTCCATGGTTTGCCCAACGCCCTCATACACAGTCCCTGCTGCTGTCACCACCGCGCTTGTCCCTGGTGTGGCCTCTGCAGAGCCTTACCTACACCCACCTCTCACTGGAGTGCCCGTCTCAACCTCTCTGGTGCCAGGAGTTGGCACCGAGACCCTCATCGTTCCCCAGCCCCCCACCGGCCGAGCCCTCCATGCGGGCAGCCAGGCCCAGCTGGAATAACACAGCTTCCTTCCCTCCCACGAGCACTGGACTATTTACAGCTCACCAGGACCTTCACACCCATGAGCTCACTGGAGCCTTCCCCACCCACCCTGGGAACCCAGCAGGGCAGGCGCCATTGCCCCCATTTTGCAGATGGAGACACTGAGGTTAAATGCCTTGCCCAGTGAATTCCCCTAAGCCTGGCCTGGCCTCCTGACTCTACTCTGAGGCTCTTCTCGATTCCTCCAGGACGGTGGTCCAAACAGTCCCAGGCGCTGGAAGAAGCCTCAGGCAGCAGGCCGGGAGGGCGGGAGTAGAGGGAGGTTTTCATGGCCTCGGCCGCTGGCTGGTAAGAGCCTGGCATGGGCATTTTCAGGGTGAGCATGGGGGCAGGCAGGGCAAGCTGGCTGGGAGTGTGATTGGGGTGTTGGCTCCCCAGGTTAGGCCAGGGGAAGGGTGAGACCCCCACCTGCAGAACTCCTTCCTGGGCAACCAGACGCAGGTGGCTGTATGCTGGCTGCAGCCGGAGGGACGTGAGGTAAATACCAGAGGGGACTTCCTACCCATTTCCCCTGCCAGGCGGACAGGGTCCAGACAAGCCCGCCCTCGTCACTTCACACAACGGCTCTGACAGCTCAGCCTTCTCACCTGCCCTCACCTCTTATATTTGTTCCATCCCTAAGTCCTCCCCCATGTCCTCCTTCCAGCACGCACCCTCCCTCCCAGGCTACACCGAGTGCCCACAGCCCCTTCCAGCAGCCTTCTCCGATCCTTTCTCAGACTCGGATCTGGACTCTTCTCGCGTCCAGGGAGCTGTGGTTTGAATTCTCCTCGTTCTTAGTGCCAGAGCCCTTGTATTGGAGGGTTCTGACTCCCCCCTAAGACGGGGAGTCTGGGAGGACAGGGACCATGTCTCTCCCAGGAACCTGTGCAGGCTTCCTCTTTCTGGTTCCACCTCCTTCAGCCTGGGCAGCCTCTGCCCACAGGGGGCGCCCAAACAGTGTTGTTGAGTCCAGGCATCCTCGCTACTGCCGGAACTGGACGAGGTATGAATTACTTGCAGTGACATGGATCTTGGTGAGACGTCCACCTCCCCTCCACAGCTCTGGCTTTTTAATTGACCTTGTGACTAAAGAGAGGGAAGAATGCTCAGCTAAGGACAGCGGCCTCTTGTTTGGGGTAGGAGATGTGGGGCTAGACACTGACCGCTAAAGAAGTCTCCTTGACGTTCCAGGCTCAGGGAGGGGGACTGGCTTGAGGTGCTCACCCAGCCTACAGTGGACCCAGATGTCTTCCCTGGCCCAGCCCTGCAAGTCCCCAGGCTCGTGGGCAGAGGCCCCAACCAAGCAACCCCTACTTCCTTCCCCAAGTCTCTCGGAAAGAGTGGTGAGTCAGTTGCGGCCATGAACTCATCCGAGGCAGTAAAAATAGGAAAACAAGCAGGCCTGTCCTCCAGGCAGGAGGAGAGGGCGAGGGCGAGGGGGAAGTGGGTTTTTCCCCGCTGGGCAGAAAGGACAGCCATCTTTTGAAGTCCTCAAGAGTGAGGCCGGCGTCCTCACAGCCCCTAGAAACTCAACCACATCAAAGCCACCTGGGAAAGGTGGTTTGAGGGGCATGCCATCTCGCACACAGTCACGGTCACACACAGTGACACAACCGAGTCCCTGAGGGACACACTGTGACACATACAGTTGAGGGCACAACACCTGGCCACACATACAACATGCAAAGCCAGTCAGCCACCAGGCAGTCACACACACACGCACACTCACCCAGCCAGACAAATAAGTACACTCGGAGACAACATCAGAGTCCCACACAGCCCCATACATCCATGACAGCTGTCTCCACCCAAGATGCACAGAGATCACACAGAGCAACACACAGCCACACAGATGCCACACGCACACATCCATGCCAGCCACTCACAGTCAGTCTCCGAGAGCCTCGCACAAACACACGTAGTCACACAAACACACGGCTACACTGACAGTCACACGTAGCCCATGGCCCACAGCTCCCACCCAATGCACAGAGCCCCCTCAAGCCACGAAGTGTCACACACAGCGTCTCAGTTGCACACTAGTCACATGTTCAGTCACCAAAGGCGACATCTCTATATTATGAACACCGTCACGGAGACCCATTCTGCTCATAGAACTCTGGGGCTCAGACCTGATGGGAGTCGGCCCCTGGGGTGCAAATGGGGTGGTGTCTCATTCTCAGCTGCCAGCTTAACTCCCTCCTCCTCTTGGCTGCACCTCCAGGGCCATTCTCTGCTCTGAACGCCCACTGTTTGGCGTTTGCCAGGCTTTGCTGAGTCCCCACACCCCTGCTACTGAAGGGAGGGGCATGTTGCCTCGGTGACGATTGAGTCCAATCAACATTAAGCATCATCCATTTATTCAATAGGCCCCTGCGTGCCAGGGGCCATGTGAGGTGCGAGCGAATAGAGAGGTTATTCTAAATCAGACCATAATTTCCCACCAGCGCCATGGCTATGTCCAAATGTGTGCCTGTGTAACCCTCCACGGATCTAGCCCCAACCACCAACTCGTACCTGGACTTTGGCCTTGGCGAGGCCCCCAGCAGGTGCAAGATTCTTCAATCTCATTTTTTTCCCCCTGTGGTAATTTCCAGGAGGGTGAATGGTTCTCATGTAATTGACAGCACTTCTGAAAGAGGCTCAGGGATAGGCCCAGGAAAGGCTTCCATGTGAAGGTCCTGCCCCTTCTCTGGGGGACTGAGCCTTGACAGGCAGCTGGGGTGAAAAACACCCTGCACTAGGGACCAGATTGCCAAGAGTTCGTCCACTTCCAGCATGTTCTCTTTTCCTTTTTTAAAACATATATATATATATATATATATATATATATATATATATATATATATATAATTTCAGAGAGTAAGGGAGAGGGAGAGAGAAATAGAAACTTCAATGATGAGAGAGAATCATTGATCGTCTACCTCTGCACACCCCACACTGGGGATCAAGCCCATAACCCAGGCATGTGCCCTGACCAGGAATTGAACCATGACCTCTTGGTTCATAGGTTGATGCTCAACCACTGAGCCACGATGGCTGGGCCAGCATGGCGTCTTGAGCCAGTTATATCCCCACTTGAACTCAGCTTCTCCACAAGGGCAAGGGAACTGGACCAAATCAGTTTCTCACGGGGGGCGAGGGGAGGTGCTAATTAATATGCATATTTCCAGGCCCACTCGCGACCTTCTTGGTTCCAGAATTTGAGACCTGCTGGCTCTGGAGACGGACGAGGTGCTTTCCAGCTCTAAGAAGGACTAGGAAACTTTGAGGAGCAGCAGCACTGGAGGCCAAGGGCTGCTCCAGAGGGCCCAGCCCAGCCTGGCGTCTGGAATGCAGGAACCACCGTCACCCTCCACGAGGTCCCCATCTTCTGGCTGGTTTAGAGGCTTGGGCTTGTGGTTAGGGCAGGTGATGGCCAAATCAGAACTTTCGGGTCTTGGCTGAGGCTAAGATGGGCTGGCCTGTTTGGGGTCTCTTGGCATCTTTTCTGGGGCTAATGATGCTCTAGTCTCCAGGAACCAGGTCCCACCCCCAGGCCTGGGGAGGGGGGGCTTGCCCCAGAGGAGGGTGGGCAGGGCAAGGTGGGAAAAGTCATGGGACAGTTTTGAGGACCTACAGACTCTGGGAGTTCTGTTTTCTTTGAACCCAATTTTCCTCCGTTTAGTCAATCTGCTCCCTGGTTTCTACTTAGCTCCTTTCCTGATGCTTATGGGATTGAGTCATATGCTGTCGGAATTGGAGGGACATTCGTGGGCACTCATCCCAACCACATACATCATCAGAAAAGCTGCATTAACTTTCCATGTGCCCTGAACGTTGCTAGTTCCATACAGTGTGTCATTTGAGCCTCACAACAATTTTATGCAGTAAGTATGGTTAACTCCATTTTACAGATAAGGAAAACGAGGCTCAGAAATTCTAAGCCACCTCTCCAAGCATCAGAAATGGGATTCAACCCTGGGGTTCAGCTCCATCCAGATCTCCTCCACCCCCCATTCAGAGACAGTTGTGTTGCTCTGGAAAAACCCCAGAGAGCCTTTACCGGTTGGGCAATGTTGGGCAAGGCCCGGAGCTGTCTGATCATTCGTTTCCTCATCTGTGAAATGGGGACAGCAATACTTGCCCCACCTGACCGGGTGGTAAGGATTCGATGATCCTCAGTGTGAAAGTATTCCACATGCCGCGGAGGGGCCAGACCCTCACAAGCATCCTGTACTTGGGAGGAGCTGAGGGTGGCTGCGAAGCTGGAGAATGAAGGCTGCCCTGAGCACCTTGGCCTGCAAGGCACAGGGAGGATGAGGAGCTGAGGAAGGCAGGGTCTCCGCCTGCAGGAGCCTTCTGTTCTGGGAGTGACACCCCCCGGCCATTACCCCGTCCTTTTCGAATAAAAGCTTTTGAATCAGGCTGGCTCTGGTACCTTCCAGGCACATCAAGTGATGGGGACAGGCAGATTCCTTGTGGCTGAGCTAAAAGAGCCAGCAGAAAGAGGAAGGGCAGCTAGCATCCGTGAAGATCCAGTCTTCAGTCACTTAGAAAACTGAATCTTCCCAACCTTGTGAGGTTGTGCTTATCATTATGTCCATTGCACAGGTGAGAAAACTGAGGCATGGGGGAATTTTATTTGCCCAAGTCAGTAAGGTGTGGAGGTGGGATTAGAATTCAGATCTGCCTGGCTCCCGAGCTGCTGTGCTTCTCCCGGCACCTGGCTGTGCCGTGCAAAGCCAGGATCTAGGGGGACACTCCCATGTCTGGCCTCTCATCCTTGAGGAGCAGCCGGAGGGGAGGGAGGGGAAAGGGACCCTTTCGTAGGAGCTGATCTCCTGACTGTCACCCTATGGCCTCCTATATATCACACCTGCCCCTGGGACTTCTCATGAATGTAAACAGTGGTACAGCATTGCACTCATCTCCATTCATTCATGCAGTGCCTGGCCCTGTGCTGGGTGCTGTGTTCACCGAAGCAGAAGACCCCATCCTGGCCTTGTGTCCCAAACCCACCTGACAGCATCTGAGAGGGAGAATGCAGCTGATCACATGCTCCAGGGAGACCAGCGGGGTGGTGGCGATCCCAGACAGGGAAGTCAGGGGAGGATGTCTTAGAATCGATGAACCGTCTAATGAGGGAGGCAAGAATCCTATGTACATCTGATTCCATTCGTGTAATGTTCTCCAACAGGTGAAAGTAAGCAGATATCAGTGACAAAACTGCAAGGAAAGGCAGGAAAGTGATTACCATACACGCTGGGGTACCAGGGTGAGGAGAGAATGGTGAACCGGGAGGGCACTCGGCGTGGGGTTCTGGGGAGCTGGCAGAGTCCTATTTCTTGACCTGGGTACCTAGTTTATAAGTATTTTTAAACTCTGCATGTATGCATTTTAATTTACTCTTCTTTATACATTCCACACACTCCCCCCCCCCACACACACACACAATTTTAACACATAGAAATTGCAAAATTCACTGTTGGGTGGGACCTAAGCCAATCTGCCACAGTGCCCTGCACAGCCCCTGGACCTGGTAGGCACTGAAAAGGAGAGTTTTGAATGCGGGGAGTTTTACAGGAGCTGAAAGTGGGGTGCATGGTCCAGCCAGATGGAAGTGTGTGGCCTGAGGTCTAGAGACAAGAGTCCACTTACTTGATCATGTTTTGGGGGGGAGGATTAGAGGCCTCTTTCCCATGACTATCTGGAGATCTGAGGGTCAGCAGTTCCCCATATGGAGCCCAGGATTCCAGAATTAGGTTGTCCTTCCCTCAGCCGAGCACCAATCATAGGAAGTACAAAGGGCACTGAGGCAGAAGGCTTCAACGGATAGCTATCCAGCTTTGTACACGCAGCACTTCATGACTTGAGTCTCAGTGTCTTTATCTGTAAAATGGGGCTAATAAACCATCTACTTCACAAGGTACTGAAGCCCCAATGAAGTTATATATGAGAAAAATGCTTTAGGGAGTGATGTGGGTTACATACTTATAAATGTCATGTTACCTAGGTATTCTTCCCCCGCCCCCCTCCCCGCTGCTGCTGCTGCTGTTTTGCAAGGAGGGCTCACAATACAGCCTTACTCTGATTTAGAAAGTCCCCCAAACCCCAAGACCCTCCGGGCTTGAGATCTCCTAGGCCTGAGCTTCAGGGTGATTCCAGGAGCAAGTTCCCCAAGTTGGAGGAAGCCCAGCTGGGGAGGTGGCATTCCAGGCGGCATGTCAGAGGGTGAGTCAGGGCTAGGGCAGCCCTCCCCCTCTCCTAGTTCTTGGCTCAGGGCCCAGGCTGGGTTTGTCTAATTTGCATGCATCTGCATATATGCAAGTTTCACCTGTGCACCCTGGCAGGGCCCCCAGAAAGACACCTGTGCAGGGGCACCCGAGGGAAACCAGAGTGGCAGGCTGCCTGCCGGAGCATCCAAACCTAGAAATCCTGGTCCATGGTCCATCACCCATCACACGCCTGAATCTTTGAATCAAACACCTGGCTCCTTCCCTGGGCTCCTGTGGCTGCCCAGGCCAGGAACCTCAGAGTCATGCTCGCCTCTACCCTTTTCCGGGACAGTCACCAGGCCCAGCGGTTTGTCTTTGAGCCACCCTTCTCACGCTCCCCCTCCTTTCCATTGCCTCTGCCGCCAACCTGCGGGGCCCTCCCTCCTCACTTCACACTTGACCTATTTGCAGCAGCCTCCTAGCTGGGCTCTCTGCCACCCAACCCTCGCCTTCCAAGCACACGGTGGCCCCAAGATGCTCCCGGGAAGTCTCTCAGCTCCCATCCTGGTCCTCCACCAACCATGGGCCCCATCCTAAGTTCTTGGTTGGCGTTGGAGGCCCTCCAGGGTGTGGAACCTCCTGGCTCTCAGTCTCAGCTTTCCCCCCACTTTCTTACTTCCCAACCAAGTGTGTACAGACCCTGCGCACATCTTTTCTGTGCCTCAGTCTCATCGTCTGTGAAACGGGGGATGCTAAGACTCTCTTGGAAGGTTGTTCACAGAAATGCACGTGACGCACAGCACACAAGCCCACATTAAACGTTAGCCGTTATTGATATGGTCACTTCTCCTACCCCCATTCTACAGGGGGCATTCCTGTCCTGGGGTCCCCTTCCCCTCCTCAGCCCTTCCCCTTCCCTTGCTGGGTGCTGCTTTGCCAGGTATGACAACACTGTGGCAGTTAAGAGGACAAGCTGGCCTTGGTTCCAATTCTAGCTTTTAGACAAGTTGCTCAACCTTTTTGTGCCTCTATTTTCTCATCTGTAAAGTGGGGATAATATGGATACTTACCCCATAGAAATCATGTGATGAATGAAATGATGCATGTAAGGGCTTGGCATAGTGTCTGAAACGCACAGAAAAGCACATGTTAGCTATTGTTATCATTGTTATGTTACCCAGGATTCAGGGTCTCTGAACACCATTGCTCCCCTTACCCCCCAAAGGCTCCAGAAGGTTCCTTAGAGGTGTCTTCAGGAACAGTGCCTCCAGCTGGATCCCCTGTGACTCAGGCAGCAGAGAACCACCACAGAAATGTCTGGACCCCACCCCACCCACATTTCCTGTGGACAGCAACGGAGGCAGCCAATGCCCCTGTGGACTGGTTAATGGTTGGGGCTGAGCGTCCTCCTCCCACTGGCTCTGGGACACATCGCAGCCAGAATCTGGGCTGGGGGAGAGCTTATCTCCCTCTGCTGGGATTGGGCCTGGACACTTGCAGGTCCGCTCACAAGCAGAGAGTGGTCTTCAGGGGAGGAGAGAGGGCAAACTGGTTTGAGAGGATGGAAATGAGTAACTCAGCTCAGCTCCGTTCCCCTGGGAGGCCATGACCAGCGCAAAGCCCCCACCCCACCCAGCAAGTGCAAACCCTGCCCGCTTTCCTGCCGGCTTGCTGGTCCTCCAGCCTCTCCCGGGCTGCAATGGAACTTTCCGTGTGTGATCCTTTAACCGTGGGGAGTTCAGGAGGGTGACTGAGGACGGAGGTCAGATGTAGGCGGAGGAGCACACGCAGGAGCCACCTTCCCCTCCTTAAACAGCCAAACAGCCCGGAGTGTGGCCTGGCCCACCTCCC